GTCAGCGCTTCCGCCTACGAATTGGAACTCCCACATCAATGGAAACAACACCCTGTTTTCAATGAAAGCCTTCTCAGTCTGTTCAAAGAACCCATGTATTCCTCACAGCGACGTGAACCAGTAGTACCTGACCTCATAAATGGCGAGGAAGAATGGGAAGTCGAAGAAATTGAACAGTCCTCACGGCGATCGCCGTTCTTGGGAATCATGAGCGAACCTGACCAATTGTCAGGAACTTCTTCAGGAATTCCATGCTAGACGTCCAGACAAACCTGCACCTATGACGATTAGAATCCCCCCTCTATTGACACGACCTGTCCACATGCTTACGCGTGATACCACTCTTTTGGTACAACGGATGGGTGGAATTCTCCCGAAGCAAGGATCTGAAGAAGCTGCTGGGTTTGACCTTTATTCGGCTGAAAGTGTTAAGGTACCAGCACGAGATCGCAAGATTGTCGGCACTGGCATAGCAATGCATGCCCCTCATGGAACCTATGCGCGAATCGCACCACGAAGCAGATTAGCAGTCAAAGGAATAGATGTCGGTGCTGGAGTCATAGACCAGGATTACACCGGAGAAGTGCGCGTGGTGTTGATTAATTCCACCAATCAACCCTTTCAGGTACGCGCCGGCGATCGAATCACACAAGTCATTTTTGAACGCATTGCGTCATGCAATATCAAGGAGGTGTCGAGTTTAGCAAAGACTCAACGAGGGACGGGAGGCTTTGGATCGACTGGTAAATAATCGTGAGGACACGATTCTAGACGGGGGGGGGGGGGTAATGTCATGAATATTACACATTCCGGATGGTTCTCCCGGGTTCCATAGTATTCTTTTACTTTCTATACACCTCTGTATATTTGTAGGATATTCCAGATATTCAGTCTGACATGTATATAAGGGGCTCGTACTGCTCAATAACAAGCCAGACTCGAGCTGGTCTTTCCTCACTCACATTCCTCTTGTCTGTCTCCTCAGCGTTGTCGTAGCTCAGTCCAGTTGGATTGTTAGTTGCTGACAGCCTCCGTGCTGTTGCCTGCAGCTAGGAGGAACGCGGCGAGTAGGCGACTGCGATCTACGATGCCGAGGCATCACGGCTGGCAGCGCTCGACGCCATGCACCTGAAGTGGATGCTGGCCTTATCTGCCTCGGCGAGCCACTTCCGACATACACTGCAGAGTCCGCCGTGCTTGCCAGAGAACTCGACAGACGCTTGGCCGATAGAGGCAGCAGCTGCCAGAGCTATTCTACCAAGGTGCGCGACATGCCTGTCGTAGTTTGGCTTTGGCGAAGGCCATCAGTGCTTTGGCTTTGATAGCAAAGCCTCGGTGGCACCCAGTGGTACATCCTTTGCCAGTCTTCGTTGGCATTGTCGTGTGCCACTCCTGTGGCCAATCATCCCTTTGTATTGCCTTTGTCCTCTACATGTATATATACTCGCAGTTTGCGTACTATGAATCCCATCGTCTTATTCCCCGCATTCTCTCGTGTGCTCGAATATCTCTACAAGAGGTTATGAGCCCCGCGGCGTAGACCGCATCAACAACTTACCTCGCATCCCCGAAACTTCGCTCTCGCACCCAATCCCAACACCCGCATCAGTACGATTATCGAGTAACGATACGACAGCATGTTGGCGGACAGTGACGCTCTCGCTACATCTCACTCATTGCTGTTGTCAATCTGCACCACACGGTGTTTTCGAAGTAGAGATAATACAAATGCAGCCGATACCCTAAACACATTGCTACGTGCTATCGGTGTGCAAGCTTTCAAGATAACTACTCAACGCCGAGAAATTGAGCCGAGCACCCTGCTTCCCAAACAGCACATCCTGCCCAAGGAATCCTGCTATGCCCTGCCAGTCTACCGGAACCCAACACAGCCGTGTCCGCCGAGTTGGCGTCAGCGAGAAGATCCAACCGTCCTCGATGTAGTACATAGGCCAGGTGCGGCGCGGGAGCCAAGGAAGCGATGTCATCGCGGACGTATCTTCGTTGAGAGGTGCCCATAGCTGAATAACCCGATTTTCATCGTCAGCTAGGACTCCGGGGCCGTCAGGGGACAGTCGCACGGTGCTGCTCCAGGTAGCCGGGTTGAGGATGAGGAGACAAGCGCCCGTTGCGATGTCCCAAAGTCGCATGTCAACGTAGTCAGAGGAAATGACGATGTCCCCACCAGGAGCAATGGCGACCGACGTTACCGAGAGAGTGTGCCCCTCGAACGACTGAAGCAGCTCCCCTCCCTCTGCATTCCACACTCTAACGCGACAATCATCACCTCCCGACGTGATGTATTCTCCGTTCGGAGAGAAGGCGACCGAGCGCACCCCAACGCCATGTTCCCTGCACGTCGCTACACGTGCTCCGGTCGCGACGTCCCAGATGACGACAGTCTTATCGAGGGAGCTCGTTGCGATGCGTTTTCCGTCGAGGGAGAAGCCGACGGAGTAAATGTCGCGACTGTGTCCGACAAACTCGCGGATGAGTTTGCCCGTCGCGGCATCCCAGAGACAGGCAGAATGTTTCCCAACGTTCCCAGATACGGAGATAGCCGGTGTGAGCAGGTACCGGCTGTCCAGCGAGAACATGATCGTCGACGACTGGCCGCCGAAGCAGTGCGGCATATAGCCCAACACGCCGCTCCACATCGACGTCTCCTGGAAAGAGGGGGACCACCACGCCACGACCAGCTTGCCTTCCCACTGAGCGCGCAGTGACCCAGAAGCCGCATCCCAGAGTGCCACCCCACCACGATCTCCCTCCGATGCTGTGAGGATCGTCGCGTCATCTGGTGAGAACGCTACGTAGTGCGTGCATTTTGACGGTAAGGACAGAGGCTGGTATGCGCACTCCCACGTATCCGTCTTGTACACCTCGACGGAATCGTTTTCGCGTACCAGCAGTGCACGGCTTTTATTGTGAGAGAAGATGGTCAATCGGCAGTCCGCCGACTTCTTGCTAGGCGCGTCGGATGACTTGATGGCGTTCTCGAGTTGCAGTGTGCTCACTGCTTTCTGCGTCGCGTCCCACAGTCGAACAGTGCCATCCTTCGAGCCAGACACGATGCGAGTCCCGTCTTGGCTATAGGCGATACAGAAGACGTCACGGGTGTGCCCGGAGAACGCTTGTCGAACTTCGCCGTTTGCAAGGCCCAAGATGAGAACAGAGTTCTCTGAACTACACGCGAATTTGTCTCCGGCTGAGGGAAAGCTGGGACTGCGGGTGGACAAGAATGGTTGGCCCGATAGCTGAAGGTTACGGAGGTGCTCGGCGGTCTTGACATCCCAGACAGACAGCTGCCCCGAGCCTGCGTACTGTGGGGCAGCCAGAACTGTGGAACTGTCTGGTGTGAATGTTACAGAATAGGTTAAGTCCCAGCGTTCTCGCTTCAATAAGATCCGATGAGTGTACGGCGCCTCCAGGCTCCACAAGCAGACCATGTCCTCTGCGCTTGACACCATCCACATGCCATTCGGAGACACAGAAATGGATCTGACGTAGTCTTGATGCTCGGTCAAGGTCGTCACACAGGCTCCTGTCTCGGCATCCCAGATCTTGATGGAATTGTCATAGGAGCCAGATACGATGCGCCGGCCATTGGGCGTGAAGACTGCGCAGAAGACCAGCCCCGTATGCCCTTCCAGGGTGCAGAGAAGCACGCCGGATATGGCGTCACAGATCTTGACTGTGCTGTCATGAGCAGCGGAGACAACGCGAGCGCCGTCCGGGGAATACTTGACAGAGTGAACTTTTCCAGAAGGATCGGAGAGGACGAGAAGTGGGGTGCATGTGAGGGCGTCCCAAAACCGAATCTTCGAATCATCTCCCGAAGAGACGATTGTCCTGCCGTCGGGTGAAAAGTCGACGGCGCTGACCATCTGACCTTCATGTGCAGTGACCGTGCCCAAGCAAGCATCCCAAGAGTCCATCACGCCCCCGAAAACCTTAACAGAGTTCTCCGCGTGACACTCGCCTGCGTAGATCCGCGCAAGTTCTGTCTTCCTCGGAATAAGTAGCGGGTTCAAATGGTACAGCTGCAGTGCTGAACCACTGATCGAGGGGAAGTAGCCGACAATGAACCGCTCGCAGTCGTTCAGCAGCACTGCAATATTCCGAGCTCGGTCGTCATCCAGGTCCTACTCAAAATCTTAGACACGAGGCATCACAGAGATTAAATTGCACACACCATAAGCTTGCGCCGGGACTCGCTCAGACCCGAGATAGCTTCTCTCAGCACTCCAAGTATGCTGCAGGCCTCGACCCAGTACAGCAATCGGTTCTCCACAAGCTCCACAAGTGGTTCGAGATTCCCGGCCGAAAGGTTTCCCTTCACTAGATGAGTGTACCAGTGCCGACAGGCATACTTCACATGTGGCGGTATCGCCTTCTCCACACGCTCGAGCAGGTTCGGAACCTTGGTATTCAGCAAGGAGGGATCTCGAATATCGCAGATGTCCCGCCTTAGCTCTTGCAGAGCCCTCAGACATCCGCAAAGTAGCTCCGTATGCTGTTGCTGTGAGTTAACGGTGAACGATCGGTTCGTGCATCGAGTCGCGTCAGTTAGGAACTCGGCAAAGGTAGGATGGATGATACGGATGTTCGACTTGGACTCTTCGGACTCCGGCACGACGAGGACAGAGTGGAGACCCATGAGGGAGCTGTACACCGTGTCAGCAGGCAGTCCGATCAGTCGCGAGAGGCCGGAAAGGGAGAGAGGATCTTGAATGGTGACGATAGACCCTAGGATCGACTTGAGCTCTGACCCCGACAGGTCTTCGGGCATGTCAGGGAATGTGATCTCGAGCACCTGCAGGTACAGCCAGTCCAGTAGTCGGTAGGAGCCATCTGACGCCGTGGCGGATGTGAGTATCTCGAGCTGTCGACGAGGGCTGTTCCAGTATTTCCGGTCTTCGATGAACTTGACAGCAGTGGAGGCAAAGATGAACAAGCCGCCGGCCTTCTTGGCAAGGATCTCGATGTCTCCTTCGCCGGGCCAAGTCCCTGCCAGCCTGAACCGCACCTTGATATCTAACAGAGACGCGGTAATGTAAAGCTTGATGTCTGGAGTGACGGCCTCTAGTGCGACCTCATGAAGAACCAGCCGGCCGAAGGCGTTACGGTAGTCGGGGGACTCGAAGCTGGTGATGATATGGTGATCGGGACGGCTGGTGATGAAGAATCGGAGTGGGGAGAGATTATCTGCGTGCTTGAGCAGAGTGGACAGCACCGCAGACGTGGCCTTTGGGTCTTGGCACTCGTCCAGTGCGTCAATCAACACGACGCACGGTGGAAAAGATGGCGTGGCGTCGCGGGATTTGCGAAGGTGCACCAATGGCTGCAATATCAGCTCTTCGAACTGGCGAGAGACGCTAGATGATACCAGAAGGGGATCCTTTCGAAGTACTTCAGAGACCTGATCTCTATAAGGGGGGAAAAACAGTCCAAGTTGAAATGCAATTGTCGTAAAGATCATGGAGGGATTATTGCAGTCGGCAACTGATCGAGAACAGAAGAAGCTCGCTCCCAAGATGCCTAGTTCGTAACATCGCGCAGCAACGGTCCGTGCGATCGTCGTCTTGCCGGAGCCAGGCTGGCCGTTCAGCCAGAAGAGGTTGGGCTGCTCGTGAATGGAGTGTACGGTAAGGTTTGAGGCGCCGTCAGGCACGGGTTGACTAAGTGCCCAAATGTGGATCCTATCCAAAATATCGGTACGGGTCCCTTCGAGGCAAGTCGTGCGTTCTTCGCCGCCTGAATCAAATCGCGCAGAAGCCGCATAAGGCGGCACAGATTTACCTAGATGACAGTTGGTAATGCAATAAGATCGTCAAATCGGTCTTAGACATACCTTCCGAAGTTGACTGCAAGTGCGAATGAGGATTACGGGTCAGATCGTGAATTGTACGTCTGTTGAGAGATCCTTACTCGAGTATTGATCTCAATCACTTCTAGCTTGTTCTCCATACGCTGACCTCTCTCATTGAGCGCCTGTTGATGCCAAGAGAAGTCAGCACAAGCAGTCGAAGCATGTCTCTTACTTGCCTCCAATGTATGCTGTATCTCAAGGATTCCCACGGTCTAAAATCCAGGGCAGCATTTGGGTGAGCAGAAGCGGCGACCAAAAGCAAGTTTATCATACCGTAAACCTCTCAATCGACCGTGACAGGCCTTGCATAAATCCAGCGACCTTTCCTGCGTCCTCGCTGCTTTTCCAAATTCTCGATAATTTAGATCGCGACCTGAGACGCGCAGCCTCGTCGTCGATCGCCTTCCACGATCTGTGCCGTATAAGCAATCTTAAGCGACAGAATTGACAAAGCGCTCACGAGAGCAATTGCTTGACCGCGTCTTCCATCCGGGGTGACAGCTTCTGGTCATGGAGTTCTGCGCACTCCTTCACCGTCTTCGTCAACTCTCCTACTTCCTTCGTGAGCTTGTCTATGTCTTCGGCATTTGCATGCGATTTCTAGCCTCCACATGAGAATCGGCACTCATGAGACCGTACGGAGCACAAACCTGGACCATGTCCAACACTGCCGAGAGACCGCTGACACCAGCCTGCAGGCCCGGCACGGAGAGATTGCCGGCGACACCGTTGAACATGTCGAGAGCTTGCTTCAAAGTACCGATGGCGGCGTAGGCGGCATCCTTGGTGTCTTTGCTCCGTAGCTTCTTCTTGAACTTATCCATGAATCGTGTAGTCAATGAAGGAGGTGTCAGAGAGTGAAGAAAGACTTTGGAAAGTTCAACCTGTCTGGGAGAATGGACTCGGACAAGGAACCATGCATTTACCACGCCTTTACTTTGATGAAAGAGAGTTACCGCGAGAAAGCCACCGCGTGACAGCCGTGAGAGGATGGCCCTCTACCCCTCGTCTCGGTCGTATCAGGGTGGTAAGCACCACACTGGAGCCTCACAGATTGACTGGATAATTAGGCCGCGCGACCTGTGGCGTGGCGAGGAGTTGTGAATCGGGGATCCCAGTGGCACTGGGCTGGCCCGTTGCCAGGACAACGTGGGCCACGGTCAATTTCGTAATTTCCAGCTCGCGCGGGTATAGAATCACAGCGATACATAGGCCACACTTTCGTCGCAGCTGTACGACTGGAAAGCGCAAGTGGCTGGGATTGAACATCGTTGCGAACTTGCGATGTTGTGATGCACGTAAGCGCCCTGTGCCACAAGGGAGCTCACCCGATTTGGCTTGGTTACAACTCGAACTTGCCCTGCTTGTTCTCCATAATGACAAATGCTGACAACGCATGTCTACTCCCAGCCTTCGTAGATACATGGTGGATGCACAGCCCTCTACTCTCGATTTTCCTACCCGCTATCGGCGCTGGCCCATCTCGCGAGCAAGCTTCAGCTTAGTGCGCAGACTTTAGCTGTGTCGGCCTCCTGCGACTTCACTTGAACCCTTCGAAGATGGAGTATGAGCTGAACTTTGCCCAGGAGCGGCACGATCAGGAACTGTGAGAGCGTCGGTTGGAGGAAGGACACCATGAGCGGCGTTCAATACACTGGCGGTACATCAGCAGTTGCACGAGGCATATGTGCACGGCGATACTCACAAGATGCGCAGAATGTTGTCGAACTACCACTCGATCTCAGAGTAGCGGCCGTCGATATCCTTGATTTCGTCGAGTCGATAGTCATAGCACTGCGACAGGTCGAAGAATGGATCATACTTGATCCGACACCGTCGGTATTCATCACACCCACCACGAGCTGAGCCTCCTGCAGCGGGTTGCGCACCTAGATCCTCGCTAAAGCCTGCGGCCCTTGTTCTCGATGAGCATGGCCTACTCGTGGTCGAGTTCCCCTCGTAGCCTGACTGTCCGTCAATAGACTGGTCAAAGAGTGCGGATAGAGACGTACAAGTAAAATCTCTGTTCTAACCAGCCACAGCTTACGCCTTTCTAGCACCACAGTTGCAATCTTCGACGCGCTCTCTCCACTCAGCATTCGGATTTCTCCTAAATTTCCCTTCCCGGGCTGCGCTCGTACCACGGAACAGGAGCTGGATTGCATGTCGGGCTCGCTTCCGCGACGGCTGCGGGGACTGCTAGAGAAGAATCTGCACGACTTGGGCTGGGGACAGGCCATATAGCACTGCGAAGAATTCTGTTCCACGTTTGTCAGGAGTACGAGAGCATTAGACGTCGACGACTACTCACTGTCCAGCGTTTCCTCCACTTGTCTGACCTTCGCTCACTCCCTTCGCAAACTGTGGTCAAAGACCGCGGAGACAGCTTATCCACAGTCTATTGCTATTCGCCCAGAAAGCTAGACCTTGCGCGCCGTGGAAGACATGGACTCAAGCAGCTGGTGCGATGTCTTGGGACTGCGTGGAAAGCGTCATCGACGAGTCGGCAATTTTTCGGACAAATGTTGGGCGTGCAGGTTCGGGTTTCGCAACCCGATCCCTGAAAACGCCGCCGACGTGGATCGAGAGTTCATCGTTATATCTCCCAACTTCGCCGTTCTGACCTCTGGAGCCTTCAGCCTGGGAAGCTAGCGACATTCTTGAGTGTTCATTAGTCCAGGAAGAGCGAGCGTGCACACCTTTTGCTAGGTCGTACTCATCAGACTGGCAGAACGTAGTGTGCTAGTACACCTGCGGTACGTTCAGCATGTGTTGGTTGATAAAGGAGAGTAACGCACCACCGAGAGTCCGCCCCATCCGGTGAGGCTGCCGAGGAAGCAGTCGACGCCTGAGCGATGCCGGTTCAGCTGAGCGCTGGGATCGCGTCTTTCGGACGTCTGCTGTCCACTATCTGCAACGGAGGGTCCGCAAAGCTTGCAGACTCCAGATGAAAGAGGTCGTGGCATGCCATGAGAGCGCGGCGGGCCCCGGCCGCACACGCGGGCGTGACAGCACAGAGCCGGTGACGAGGAGTGACAATGTGACACTAATTTGTATGTCACGCGTATCTTCCCTGTCGCGTCGCTGTCAGTGCCGTCTTCTCTCTCCACTCGTCTCTGGTCTAGAACTGCGTCTGGCCCACTGCTCGAGCCCGGTTTCCAGCTCTCACACTGTTTGCTGCAACTTCTCATGCCTGCCATGCTTTCACTCCTCCCTCGCCTGCTCCGATATCGCTGTCGTGGAGCTAACGGATGACTATGGAAGACTAGGGAAACGGGTTAGAAGGGTCCAGGGGTGCTCATACGCGCATCGAGAGCCACGTTATTAGGTACGCCATCTTCTCAAGAGGTCGGCCGGCCGTACGTTGATCCTAAAGGTCAAAGCCGTAGTGATGAGCAGACTGGGGGAGGCCGAAGCGGCGCACAGTTGCTGTCAGGGCTGTATAACTGCGAATAGATGCGACTTGTGTCGACGGCTTGGAATGTATTCGCCCGGTAAGTGCTGTCCTTGGGCTCATTGTCAGTCAGCTAATTCCTCCATAGCACCTCCATTTCTCGACGCTTATCTCTGCTTCGCTGGCCGCTCCCCCGACTCTTGGCCGCGCCAGACTCGCGTCCGTCCTCAACGGCTGCGATCAGCACCTGGGGCTACCCTCTCCCTTCATTCGTCTCTTCTACCCTCAGTGCTTCGATTTTGACGCTCCAACACGCGGCGCGGTCTTCGCCCATTCCCCAATCGACCTCTCTCTCTCACATCCCCGTGTTCGGTCGCTATTTATCTTTTCATCTCGTCATTTTCGGCTCCTTTACGTCGTGCAACGCACTGCCTCGAAGTGCCCCAGCTCTGTGTCACTGTTGGTGAGCCAGGCTACCGGCCCTCGCTGCGAAGAGCTTGACTTCCGTGTCTAGCCTCCCATCGTAGCGCAGGGGCCTCAGATACCTCCCATCACCCAAAGATTGCCCCAGCTGCACCGGCCAGGGTGATCTTTCGTAGGCCAGTCTGGTCACCGCGCGCACTCCCATCTTTAACAGTGAGTGTAGTCGTTATCGATTTGTTCGGCCTGTCACTTACAGCTTGTTGCAGCCACGGGCTCCTCCAATGCATTATCGCACACCCACGCTCAAACCCTAGCCTTGCTCGCTACGCAATGACATGCTCCCGGTCACCCCTCCTGACTCGCTATCCCGGTCGCATATCCCTCGGGCGCGACGCTCTCCCTCCGGTGCAACGACGTACGCCTCCCGAGCGCGAACCTTCCATGTTTAC